TTCCGCTGACAGAGAAAAAAACCAGAAGAGTTCTGGGTTACCTCGATACCCAGAAAATACTTAATCAACCCAAGGTCCTTCATCTGAAAACAACGACTCACATAACTTTTGAAGGCTGTAATGAAAGTCGTATCATTCTTGGAGACAATCAGATCATCAACATAGACCAATACCTGCAGAGGGATAGAACCCCGATGCAGTGTAAAAAGAGAGTAATCATGATGGGACTGACAAAAACCATACTGCTTCAATGATGTAGACAACTTAACAAACCAGCGGCGGGGAGCCTGCTTCAAGCCATAAAAGGGAACAACGAAGACGAAAAACTTGTCCATCAACGCCAGAGCAAAAACTGGGGAAAAACTTCATGTAAACCTCCTCAGTCAAATCACGATGAAGAAAAGCATTGTGAATATCCATCTGATGAACTTCCCAATGCTTAGCAGCAGCCACGACCAGGAATAACCGGAATGTAACCATCTTAGAAACGAGAGCAAACGTCTCATGATAGTCAACGTCTTTCACCTGATTCTTGTCCAAAATCACCATACGCGCTTTACAGCGCTCAACGGTACCATTGGACTTATGGTTGATCTTAAAGACCCACTTGCACCCAATCGCACGCTTTCCAGATGGAAGAGAAACCACATCTCACATGTCATTATTCTCCAAGGCACAAATCTCATCCTTCATAGCAGCTCGCCATCGAGTATCAGTCACGACATCAGCAAAAGTGCGAGGCTCAACAACGGAGGCGACAACAACAAAAAATGCTCGATGAGTTGGAGAGAATGAATCACAAGAAACATAATGTGCTATGAAATAAGGCGTACCGGAGGATGAAGACGACTGGGAGAAGCAGTGGGTGATACATTCGGGGGCCAAATAGTGTCAACCACGAAATCCTTCAGCCGAAGGAACCTTAGTCCGATGACCACGACACAAAGGCTCTACTGGAAGAGTGAGAGAGGTAATGGTAACAGAACCTCCTCGTCGTCAGATGTGTCTATATCAGTAGCAGAAGACCCATTATGAGGCAAAGAGACAACCAAATCTTCATCATCACCCGGCACAGAAGAAACCCGCACAACAAGAGGCGGTGGCAAAGAATCTGGCTCAGGCGAGTCTTACTGATTTGGGAATTTAATCTAAAAAAACTCCATATCACAAGAGACAAAGAAAATATGACGGTCCAAATCATACAGACTTCATCCCTTTTTGCCAAATGAGTAACCGACAAATAGACAAGGACGACTCCGAGCAACGAACTTGTCACCATTACGATCATGGTTATGAGCATAACAAAGGCAACCAAAAACCCGCAAATGAGACAAGTAAAGAGCTGAACCATAAAGAATCTTATATCGGGTTTTACCATGTAGAACCGAGGAAAGAGTCTGATTTATCAAATAAACTGCAGTCAAAACACAATGACCCTAAAAAGGAATAGGCAGATGAGCTTGAAAACGTAGAGCACGAACTACATTGAGAATATGCTGATGTTTGCGTTCCACACACCCATTCTGCTGAGGGGTGTCGACGCAATAAGTCTCATGCAGAATTCCTGGCAATGAAAATAAGATGCCAAACACATGGACTCACTTCCATTATCAGTACCAACAACACGCACCAATTTATCAAATTATCACTTAATCATAGAAAAACAATTCAACAATGTGGAAGCAACCTCCGTCTTATCATTCAATAAATAATCTCATGTCCCACGAGAACAATCATCCACAATAGTAAAAAAAACCGTGCAACAAAAGGATGAAACACGATACAAACCCCACAGAATGAATCAAATGAATAATCTAATTGAAAAATCTCATGACTAACAGTCTGACTGAGAGGAAAACTATGACGTTGTTTAGCACGAAAACAAGCATCACACGATCTGTGCAAATTTTGAGAACTCGAATCAATTACAAGAACATGGGACAGTAATTGAGCAGACAGATGACCCAAACGTTGATGCCACACATCATTAGAAACCTTCCGAACACAAGAAACTGTCGTCGAAACCGTCCCTCGAAAGAAGTAGAGACCGACCAACTGCTCACCCGCGTCAATCACCTTCTACAAAGTGCGGTCCTGAATAACACAGAATGTGCTAGTAAACTGAGTGTTGCAGTTGGAACGATCTAACAATTGATATAATGAAATCTAACTATACCGAAGGCTGGGAACGTATAAAACATCATAAAGAGTGATTGTGATCCCAAATAAACAGTCTCAGCCTTGCTAGCCATAGTCAATGAACCATTAGGCAATTGAACAAGACGGGCGGGAATATTCCGAACATCAGAAATAAACTCCAGGAACCATTTCATATGATGAGTTTCCCCATAGTCGTACATCCAATCAAATAGACCATGCGTACCAGTCAAGGGATTATTTTGTTTAGCAGAATTAACAAAAAACACAATGTGAGCCCATTGTTCATTGGTTAAACTGCCAAGTGCAAGACGATCAGAATCACTAAAAACTCTACTAGAATTATAAGAACCAACAAAATCGGCAACTAACGAATCACCGATACCACTAGAGAACGCCGCATTCGCACAAGCACCATACTTGCCGCGAACTCCACTATGGCAACTATTACCAAAATTACAATCGAGGCCACCACTGGAATCGAAACCAGACAATGAAGAATCAACCATGAAGGAGTGACTGACTGAATCAGATCTTTTTTTAGTCACAATGCCGCAGGAATCAAGAATCCTGGGCGTAAATTCTCAATTGCAATTTTTGGCGTAAATCAACCTGAGGCACCCCTAATTGGGCGTAAATTCTCAATTGTAATTGTAATTCTTAAGTGAGAGGGCGTAAATCAATTGGGCATAAATCAATTGCAATTCAACCATCAGGAATCAAGAATCAACCATTGAGTAACCAATTGAACCAAAATCAATCGCAGTATGTTCTCAACAGTCGCAATTAAATAAATTGCAGATCTTGGCGGTGGATGCAATCGAATTGTATAGATAAAATTATATTGCAATCGAAAAAATTTTATGGTTCTGATACCATGATACGAGAGAGATGAGACATAATTTGAGGGAAAGATCATCTCAATCGGATGATACAAAACCTCTATTAACCAAATATATACACACAAAATTAGGGCTACACATGCTGAAAAATAACATGATGCTAAAATAGTAAATACACAATAATGGACAGTAACAATACAACTCTATATATTCCAATGAACAAAAAAAAAAGATGAAAATTATTTCAAAATAAGATGCTTTAATCTTATAAACAAAAACTGTAGGGAATCATTACTGCTTTTGATAGGGATTATGTACCTATCCGGCCTGATTAAGCTAAGGCCCATAACATCAAGTCGGGTGAACCGAGTTTGAGGGTCTTGGCCCATCGACCCATTGACCCATCGACCCATAGGGTCTCGACCCATAAGACCCACATGATCGACCCTCGTAAGGGTCTCGACCCATCCGATTGAGCTAAGAATCATAACGTCAAGCTGGACGAACCGAGACTTAGGGTCTCGACCCATCGAGCCATAGGGTCTCGACCCATAAGACTCATAAGGTCGACCCTTACAAAGGGTCTCGACCCATCGACCCATAGGGTCTCGACCCATAAGACTCATAAGGTCGACCCTTACAAAGGGT